TGATTCTCATCCATAATTGCAAGCTGATATATACCACTTAGAATCATCTTCTATTACACTCCTCTATATTTCTTTGGTGGCACAGACAAACACACCAAATGGCTACATTTTGCCGCATGGCTTAATTAAGTCTTGATTGTTTGCATCCTAAATCAACTAGTTACAAAAAGCTCTCATCACATTGGGCGCCACACTGTAGCAATACCTCTCTTGAGAACACCAGCAATAGCTGTACTGCAAGATATGTGAATCAATGACCGTTTGCATCATCGAATTTACTTTGTTGGCGATCTACTGAAATATTATGAAAGTAATATGCACATCGTACATATACATTTTGTTTGCATTTCAACTGTGTTCACGACTTGCCTAAATTTGATCTAACTTTAAATTCTGGCAGAACAAGAACAGAATGAAGAAAAGAAGTATGAGAGCAAGTGCGAGAGGGAAAAGGAGCAGGGGAAAAAAGATAATAAATAATTTAGAAGAATTATTTGGAAGTTGGAAAAGGGGAAGGAGAGGTGGGAGAAAATGACGGGGCAGTTTTGGAAGGAGGAAAAAGTTAAGGGGCAGGAGAGGAAGAAAAATGACATAGAGAAGAAGAAGAAGATAAAGAAGGAGAAAGAAAGAAAATCCGAATAAAAAAGAGATCAAACTCAAGGACACAGAGCAGGAGAGGAACAAGAGGAAGTAGGAGATTTAGGAGAAAAATAAGAACGAGTAGATGAAGTGGAAGAACGAGGAGAAGAGGATGAAGAATAAAGAGGACAAGGAGGACGAGAGCGTTAACGGAAAACCAATAACGCCAGCAGACAAGGTCTAGTACTGATTTCTCCTGTGGGCTTGTATTGACTCTATTTAACGACGTCAGTCTAGCTCCGGAAACTATACTTTATCGTGAAGCATTCGACTTTGCAAGCAGACGACTTAAAATTTGGAAGTCGTTCCTCAGGCAAGCAATCGGTTTTACCGACACTTTTAGTCAAAACAGTTGACCTTAGGCGATTGTCTAGACGTCAATGTAGATAGATTCTCTCGATTCAATGTAAGAAGTTCTGCCAAACGGTACACTTTGAGAAAGATTGCTGCTCAGTCGGGACAGATGTCCTCGAAGCGAGGGTTCCGTGCTGAAAGCCTCTGCAGCATCCTCAAGCCGAGAACGAGGATGTCTGCTGGTGCGTCGCCCAGTGGGCTGTTGCCTCTGCCTCTGCTTTTTTAAGGCAAGATCGTCTTGGCGAGACAGTGTCCGGAATGATGATGATCTCATCTGCTCAGCAGCACCAAATGGAACCTCGTCCAGAGCCAGACCGAATCAGCGCCGTACCTCTGCTCGGTGTCAGTCTTCAGCTTCTGCTCGCGACTCATTTTCGGCACGGCAACTCTTCTGCCTCACACGATTCCAACTCTTTCTGAGCACTGTTTTCGATTTTTAAGTAACCCTTTGAGACTACCAGCAGGTTTGATATGAGGGCTGTATTCGCGCTATTTCATTCGAGAAGATGAATTTCAACACAATCTTAACTTCCTATGGCAGCTCAAAGGAAATATTTGCGAAGAAAAGTTGGGTTTTGAGGAATCTCTTGTTTCATAATTGTTGTGCTTACTTCCATTTCGAGTGAAAGTGTTTGGTAAAGAGATTTGTCAGTGAGTTTTCTTGACTAACTAGTTTGCATTTGGCTGTGACGATGATATCTTTGTCTGATGATGTTCGTTACATGACGGAGGAAAGCTTAGCAACTTTTCATCGGAATCGAAGAAGATTACCTCTGAAACAGCGTCAGTATGAATGTTCCAGTAAAGCCAATCGACAGCTGGTCAAGACAAATCCGCCGTCGTCTTCTGGTAGAATCGACCTTCGAATCTCTTCACCAAACACCTTCACTCGAAATGGAAGTAAGCAGTTCACAGGGAGACCTGCTTCCCAAAAGGTATTCTCATTTCGACTGGAATGGATTGGACAGCAGTTTCCACCCTCACCCTCGGCAGGACTTGAACTCCGCTTGTTGTAGTGCAGTGTACAACCACAACGTCCGACCACCACGTGGACTAGAGGGCAGAAGTGAATTGCAGGAGATGAAGAAAAACTGGGTTTCGAAGAATTCTCTAGTGAGATATTTTTATATGATTTTCGCTTTCGAAAGAAAAGTTGGTTGATTGGCATTCGTGATGAATCACCAGTTCCTCGTAATGCATTCCTACTCTGATGACCCCTGTCACGACGGGACACACGAAAACTTAGTACAGGTTGACCGGGGTGGAAGGACGGTGAACCGAGGACTTTTTCGCACAATTCAACAGTCTTGCCTGCGCGGCAATCCTCCTTCGGCTTCTGGTGAGACCACATCACGAATTCCTTCCAGCCAACTTTTCCCTCGAAATGTAAGATCATGTCGCAAGAAGCGAATTCCAACCGAGGCCAGTCTTTTCTGTGATGGGATTGTCGATGAAGCAAAGTTCTCATTCAAGTTCTGCCGGTAGTCTCGAAACCTAAAATGAAAACGGAAATAAGCAATCTTGTCGAGAACACTAGCAATTGCATCATTACTTTGTCGGCGATTCCATCACACTGCTGTTGCTAGGGGGAAGAAGTGGTCCTTATTGAAATGCACATCCGTCCGGCGAGCAAAGGACCCTTGTGGCAGTTTGGCGTAGTAGTCAACAGGTCGAGGACACACTCTGCACCGTCATGGCTCGAACCCCGCCGGGGATGTTGAGGAGACCGGTTCAAGCGAGATCGAACCTGCCGTCCACTCGAGCAGAGGTGAAAACACCTTTTGGGCAGCCAGGCTGTGTGAAATGAACTGGAAACGTAAATACCAGGTAAATAGCAGGTGTGATGAAGCCACAGTCGGTTTGCCACAAAAGGGCACACATTTTGATGATTGGATTGTAAAGAAGTGAAAAGTTGTGATAGGGCGGTAGTGGGAGGGTAAAGAGTAGATAGATAGACAATGACAGAAAGAGGAGTGATAGTGTAACCGTTTCCAGCAGAAC